TGGTTTGATTCTCGAGAGGATCTTGAGTTTCCTCATCTTTCGTTTCTTCCTTTGATGATGGTTCTCCAACGTCATGTTCAACATCATTTATGTTTATAATACCTACATCATCATTAAAACAAGAATCCTTCCTCGGAATGGGATTATCATCGAAAACAACATGTATAGACTCTTCTACAACTAAAGTTCTTTTATTAAATACTCGATAAGCTTTAGAATTTAAGGAATAACCTAGAAAAATTCCTTCATCACTTTTAGCATCAAATTTGCCAAGATTGTCTTTACCGTTGTTTAAAACAAAACATTTACATCCAAAAGGATGAAAATAGCTAATGTTAGGCTTTTTATTTTTGAAAAGTTTATATGGAGTTTTCTTTAAGATTGGCCTAATCATTACTCAATTTACAACATAACACGCGGTATTTGTGGCTTCCGCCCAAAAATATTTTGGCAAATTGTTTTCACAAAGCATGGTTCTAGCCATTTCTTCTAAAGTTCGATTTTTCCTCTCAACAATTCCATTTTGTTGAGGGGTTCTAGGTGCTGAAAAATTATGGCTAATATTATTAGAATTACAAAAATCAGTAAATCCAAGATTTTAAAATTCAGTTCCATGATCACTCCTAACACTAGTTATAGAGTAACCTTTTTCGTTTTGGATTACTTTTGAAAACATGATGAATTTTTCTAATGCTTCATCTTTAGTACTTAAGAATAGAACCCAAGTATATCTAGAATAGTCATCTACCAAGACAAATGCATATTGTTTTCCACCCAAGCTAGTAGTTCTAGTTGGCCCAAAAAGATCTATATGGATCAATTGTAATACTCTACTAGTTGATACATCATTAATGGATTTAAAAGAAATTCGCTTTTGTTTTCCTTTAGCACAACCATCACATATTTTATCATTATCAAATTTAAGCTTAGGCAACCCTCGAACTAAATCTCCTTGAACTAACCGTTGCAAGACACTCATACTAGCATTTCCTAGTCTCCTATGCCATAACCAACTATCATGCTCATCCTTAGCAACTAGGCATAAATTAGTCATATCAATAGAGTCTAAATGCACCATGTATATGTTTCCTATTCTATGACCAACAAGCATAATTCGATTAGATGCAATGTCAATAACTTTACAACCATTAGTTTCAAACATAACATTGAATCCTTTATCACATAATTGAATAATACTTAAGAGATTATGCTTTAATCCATTCACATATAAAACATTTTTAATTTGTATAGAAGAGGTATTACCTATAGTACCTATACCTTCGATGTGTCCTTTTGAATTATCACCAAAAGTCATTTCTCCTCTATTTTTGGCGTTAAGCTCTATGAACCGATTTTTGTCTCCGGTCATGTGTCTTGAGCATCCACTATCAAGGTACCATGAATTTGAATTTGTTTCTCGTGCCATGTAGCAATGCTTCTTTTCCTACAAACATAGATTGATTTCTAATTTTTGGTACCCAAATTCTTTTGGGTCCATATTCATTAGTTTCCAAAATCCTAGTTCCCTTAGGTATCCATTTGTGTATGATATCCTTATCTTTAATAGTAATGAGCTCTTTAGGAACCCATATACTTCTAACGATTTTTCTATTAGAGGTTCTTCGGGGACCTCTATGATTGTAGTTTTTAAAACTTTTTCTAACAAAGCTGGATTTTGAATTTTCTTCATTTTCAAAACGTTTTGTTCCAACTTTATCAAAAGAGGTTTTAAGACCATCAATTTTCTTTTGATGATCATCATTGACCTTTGAAAGTAAATTTTGCAAATCCAAAATTTTCTTTTCAAACTCTTCTAGTTTGATTTGCAAATCTTTGATTTTACTTTCAAGATCATTGTTGGTTTTGGATATGAGTTTATTTTCATTTTTCAATTTTGAAACATCATTTTTATATTTTAAAAACAATTTCTCATAATTCGAAGTCAACCTATTATATTCCTCTAATAGCTCATCATAAGATAAATCATCAAATTCAGATGAGTTAGAGGTTACCTTAGAATCTTCCCCGAATGCCATCAAGCAAAAGTTTGCTACTTCTTGTTCCTCTTCATCAGAACCCTCTTCATCACTCCATATAACCACATGAGCCTTGTGCTTATTCTTTGATTGACCCTTTCTTTTTAATTATGGGCAATCATATTTGACATGCCCCGGCTTTTTGCATTCATAGCAAATTATAGGGTCTTTCTCTTTTGGTTCATTTTTTAGGCCTTCATTTCGTTTGAATTTTCTTCCTCGGTAAGGTCTCATCATTTTCTGAACCGTTTGGCAAATAATGTCATTTCCTCGTCATCGTCATCTTCATCCGAATCACTCTCATCTTTTGTGGATTTGAGAGCAACTCCAATGTTTTTCTTCTTTTCCTTCTCCTTTGGTGTCTCGTCAATCTTATCGAGGTCCACCTCATCTTCAAGCATCATTTCATGAGTGAGGAGGGAACCAATTAGCTCTTCAAGAGTTAAGGACTCTAGGTTCTTAGCCTCGATGATTACAGTCTTCTTGGATTGCCATGATTTTAGAAGTGAGTAAACTAACTTCCTCACAAGCTTTTCGTTTGGAATGATCTCTCCATATGATTTGAGACCATTGACAATCGTTGAGAATCTATCCGTCATAGCTTTGATATCTTCATTTGGTTTCATCCTGAAATTTTCATAGCTATGTATTAGAAGACTAATTTTATATTCTTTTACCTCGTCGGTGCCTTTATGAGTGACTTGTAGTTTATCCCATATTTCTTTGGCGGTTGTACAAGATGAAACTCTTCCATATTCATCTGGTCCAAGAGCATAAAATATGATATTGATTGCTTTGGAATTGAGCTGGAACATTCTTGTCTCTCTTTCACTCCACAATCTTGAATGAGTGAGAGGCTTGATATATCCGTATTCTACAACATTTCATGCTCCCATGTCACTTGCTTGAATGAAATACATCATCATATTTTCCAATAGGCATAGTTAGCTCCATTGAAGAAAGGAGACTTGTTGACGGGCATCGAATCGAGACCGGAGTCGACATTTGAAGTAGAGGCCATTGATGACTTGATAATCGATGTAACTCTTCCCAAATCGACTCAAGAGGCGATTAAACCTTCAAATGAGTGAGGCTCTGATACCAATTGTTGAGTTAATCGATCGACGGAATCGACCAAGAGGGGGTGAATTGGCAATTAAAATTTTGGTAGAAGCTTTTGTAGAAAATTGAAAGTAATTGCACAACGATTTAGAGTGGTTCGACTTTCTCAATCAAAGTCTACGTCCACTACCTTAGCTATCCACACTAAGGATTTTCCAATAAATTCACTAATTTGTTCTTTCTTTTGAGGCCAAAGAGATAACCTTACAACTCCCTCAAGAATATACCCCAATTCTTGAGAACACTCTTTCTCAAAGAGAAGATTACAAATTTGCAAACTTACAAGGAAATCCTCACAAGGTAGATTGTTTGCACAATTCTAGAACAAAGAAAAGAACACTAAAAAATGAATACAATTGAGTACAAGTAGTGTTCTTGAAAGCAAAATGAATATTGAATGAAAATAGGCTTGAAATGCTCAAACTTAAGGTTTGATGCTTTCTCTTTGATTCTCTCTTGATTCTAGTTGCTTGTTGTTTATTGTTATTGATCAGTGGTTTCTAAGCTTGTTTAAATACACCTTCAAATGATTTTGAACGTTGGGGATGCTTAGTGGAGTCAATATAGCCGTTTAAGTGTGAAAACAATTAATAAATTCAGTTGGGAGCGTCAGTACATCGATGCATACCCATGGTGCATCGGTGCATCAATGTAAAATTCAAATATTTTGACCGTTGGACCCTTAGTGCATCGATGCATCAAGTGCATCCAGAGTGTATCGATGCATGGCTGGTGCATCGATGCATCAAATGCATTCGATGTTTTCATAAAATTCTCAGTGCATCGATGCATGGTATGTGCATCGATGCATGAAATGCATTCGATGTTCAATTTAATTCATGGTGCATCGGCGCATCACTCTGAAAAATTGATTTTAGGCTTGATTTTGGTTCAAAATACTTTGTGAAAATTGTTTCAAAAATAGTTTAAGTATAAAACACAATTTAGTAAGGTTTGAATTTGAACTTGAAAGACTTGGAGTAATAATTTGATATTCGATTAATTAAATCGAATATACTTTAGAAAATCATTTGTAAAATCTTAAAATTCATTTAAACTTAATTTGTTATATCAAAACACAAAAATGTTTTCAACAGAAAGCTCATTGTCCGTTACCGTATGAAATATCAGTAGGATCTTCGATCAGCATACAAATCTGTAGATGTTCGGAAACAATAAGAAAACACATGTTTATCAATTGATGCACGTTCTTCAGCATCATCTGGTAGTTCTGTATTACTGAGCTTTTCGAAGCTCACTCTATTACTCAACATTGCATGTTAAAAGAATTGTACCAGTACAACTATCGTCATCAGTATGAGAGTTCTCCCGGCGTTGCTCCTAGAGATTGTTATATGTGATTAGGGGGCATGTAATTGTATTTTGCTTTATATACGAGTCTGAAAATATGTTTTATTTCTGCATATTGATAAATCATTTTATAAGTTACATGTTTTAATAAAAGTTTTAAATTTTCCGCCATTTTTACAGTGGGTCGCTCCGGTGACCCTAATGTGACACTCCAGATCGGATCGGGTTACCCGCATCGGTCTGAGGGGGTTACAAACTCACTCAATATTTAAGATTTATTATGTCATCTAAAGAGTGAAATTATGGTTATCAAAATTATAACTCAACCTCATCATTTAAACTTTTTATAATTCCATAAAAAGTGTTAGGAATTTATATTAAGACATAATAATAATAAATAGCACAGTGACTAAATCCTCAAATTGATTATGGTAAAAGGATGAAAATGTAAATTAAACCAAAAGAAAACAATCGGGGTCCAAAAACTCCAAATATCGAAACTAGGGTTTCCGGAATGCCTCTATAAATATCCTCGTTTTCCCATTCCCATTCCCATTCCAGGTTTTCAATAAGCTCTTATCGCCTCTCAGAGCTTCTGATCAATCATGGGTCACTCTAACGTCTGGAATTCTCACCCCAAGACCTACGGACCTGGCTCTCGCGCCTGGTAAATTTCTCCTACATTTTTTTTTCTTAGCATAAATTACGTTTAAGTTTAACTAGCTGAATTAAAATGTTAGGTTATTGATTTTTGAGGGCGTGATCCAAGTATTTATCATGATAATCTTTTATGTCCAAGGGTGTTCCCCTTAGGTTGAGATTGTTATCAATTGTTTTGTTCTATTTTTTTTTTCAAATATTGTGTATTCTTGGTTAATTGATTCTTTTTTGGTGTTTTAATTCTCTCTTTTTAGTCGGGTGTGTGGAAACCCTCATGCCATCATAAGGAAGTATGGGCTCATGTGTTGCAGACAGTGCTTCCGTAGCAATGCCAAGGAAATTGGATTCATTAAGGTAGAGCTTTCCAAATTACTCATCTGATGATTAATGTTATCTTAATTATTATACTTTCTTATCAGTATTTCTTAATCTCTGGGTGTTCTCTGTCTTCATTTGCAGTACCGCTGAAGAATTTATGTGGTTTGAAGTAGGAAGGATCCCGTTCGAGTATGAACCATTTTAGTATGTTTTTTTTAATCAGAAGAAACTTTTAAGATAATGTTTTTGTTGAGTTCATGAAAGTGTTTTATGAGGAGTACTTTTGTTGTTTATCAATGAAAGTTTATTGTTAGCTATGTGAGGATCCTGTTTGTTACTTGCATTTCACTTGTTATTAATGGGACTGGAGGTTCTAAGTTGTTTCTAAGTTTTGAAATCCGAGAGTGAAGATTTTTAGTCTCGATGCTGCAGTTGGTTCTTGTTATTATAGAGTTAAGTCGTGGTTATTCTCCAAGGAGTAGTTGCATATGAATTCATTGCATTATGTGGTTTTGGTGTCTGTAAACTAGCTTTGTTCCATTACAGCACTGGGCAATTCGATGTGCAGCATGAATCATGCATATGATATATCCATCTAGCACAAGAAACTAAGCTTTGTTATTGGCGTTTTAAGTTGTTTATAAGTCTTGAAATCTGATTGTGAAGGTTTTTTAGTCTCACTGCCGCATTTGGTTGTTGATTTATAGAGTTGTCTCGGTTATTCTCCAAGGTATCATTGTCCATTAACATCGTAGTTCAACACCATTGTCGTTGACCTCTACTATCCATCAATGCAACTTTAAATACATCATCGTTGAACCATGGCCCTTCAACTCCGTCACACCAAACCTAAAACGTATAATAAACCCCAACGAAATCAATACTCAACGGACGCTATAAATAAAAAAAAGTGAACAAGATTACGGCCTATCATGGGTTCATAGGGTCTTTGATCGTCGATTTGGCAATTCCAATGATGAGATGGCTCCAATTTAGCCAAGAGAGCAAAATATTTCGATTCGATGGTCAGAATTGAACAATGAAAATGAGGACGATCAAAAGCTCAAAGGAAAGGATAATTTTGTGTATTGGGAAAGTTTGAGTGAAAACTAAAACATACAAGTAAGAAGAGGATCAAAATTAAAGTTTAATGTTATAATTGAAGTACTTGAAAGTTTAATAATATAATCGAATCATACTTCAAAGCTTAATGATATTTGATATAATTTAACTTTTCCTAGATAAGGGGTGAACAAACTTGAAAAATTGAAGTTTTTTACTCGATTCGGAAAAGACACAAAAAAAATTTATATTCGAGCCGAGTTATAAAATCAAACTCAAATATCTAATTTTTTTTAGTAATTAGTAGAGTGGTTTTAAAGTTTGAGTGGAGTCATTTAACTATGATATATCACATATGAAAAAATATGAAGAAATATATAAGTATTGTTTATGGTTATAAGAAATCGTTTATATTGAAATCAAATAGTACCATAATATTATAAATGTTTACACTTGAATTTAAACAGAAACTCAAACAACTTGAATTTTATAAAACCGATTCGATTAAAAAATGTAAATCAAATTTAAATTATAAAATATGATTCATCAATTTAAATAATTTAATTTTTTAACTTAACTCAATCGAGCTGGTCCTAACGATGAAGATTGTGTCCTAGTTATGGTAAGGAGATGGGGGAGGGGAGAAGCAATGTTGGAAGGGTATGGAAGCATTAAGCTTTTTGAAGTTTATAATCACTTGGAAAGTGAGTTAACCAATTACCCCCAATTAAACAAAAGCATCCGTTAATGGGGTGTTTTTCTTTGAGATCAATTATTCCATGGAGTATGTTCCAAGTCTCATCATGTCTACTAAAGTTCCCAACCCATTATTTCATGATCCATACGGTCGCTACAAATGAGTTGAGTTAAATTCGAGTATTATTGAATTCGACTAGATTTTAAAATTTTAAAAATTAAGTTCATCTCGATTCGACAATTTACGAGTTTAAAATTATTAAGTTCAATTTGAATTTAAAATAAAAAATTGAAACTCGACTCAACTTGAAAGCCCGCGAGCTTAAATTTTCAAGTTCGGCTCGAAATAAAAAATAAAGTTTGACTCGAGCTCGAAAAATTTGAACTTATTCTCAGAATTAGTTCAATTGAAGTTCAAGCTCGAACTCAAACCTAACACTTAAGTACATAAAACTTTATATTATATTTTCCTAAGAAAGAACATCATAGAAATGTTAGTATTTTATTAATAATTTGATTTAGTTTTTTTCTAAAATTTAATATGTTATTCTTTCGACCTTCTCACGAGCTTTTCGAGTAGGGTTTCAAGTAGTTAGTTTTTACTCGTTAAGAATTCGAGTCGAATTCGAATTTAAGTCTATTCAATTCGAAAATTGACTAAACTTTGACAGAACCGATCTCGAGTAATTTACAATCCGTCTCATCTCATTTACATCTCTAATACGTACCTTTTTAACAACGATACTCGTATTAATGAGGTGTTTACAATGTTTGCCTGCTACTCGACCTCTACAGCTACACATACGGATGCCTAATATCTCTCTTGGGACCAACACAGACTCGACCCACCACCTTTTTCTAATTTCATTCTTTGCACTTCCATTGGATGATTTCTAATATCATTCTGTTTATTTTATTTATTAAGATTGTTTTATTTTTAATTAAGTCAGCATTAGAGGTACCAGTTAGATCTTGTGGCTAAAATTAGTGCTGAGAATTCAATGTTATTGCAAGCTGTAGACATATTGGACCCTTCACTAGCGTTGGAAACAAGGGAAATGGAGATTTCAAGGGGGACATTGCATCTTTATGTTAATCTCTAATAGAACAAAGGACTTATATTATATGACTTCGCTTCAAATAATCCCTATGCATTCTTTCTGTCGTCACTTATTTTTCTTAATATATAATATATTTTAGTCCCCACATTACGTTGAAATTTGATAGTTAATCCATATTATTTTAAATTAGTGTTATTTGGCCTTTTACTTTTATAAGCTTATTAGTAGGTTTCGTTTGAAATTATCGTTATTTGTTTATTGTTCGTGACATCGTAGGAACCACATGAAAACCTAGCTAACCATATTCAATTAATAACTAATTTATGTTTGTTGTCAAATGGTTAAAATTATTTTTTTAAATGATGTTGTTAAGATTGAACCTACTAAGTTGTGGGTATAAAGAGAGAATTGTAAAGAATTAAAATAAAAGAATTAAATTTAAAATTTATGTATAATATGAGGACTAAAACTTGGATATATACTATACATGCCTTCAAAACTTGAAATTTGTTTGCTATAATATTCCATTTGATACAATCGCCTTCTTTGTTGCTGGGACTCCTCTTCCCAAGGTACTTTCTCTATAACAGCACAATATAAGGTAAATCCTGCCTGCTGTTTGTTTCTTGAGAAAATTGATATTCCTTTTTAGATCTCAAATCTAATATCAATAAACAATTGGTTCAGGTGTTTTGATTTATGAACGCTTAATCAAAGTGATATTAGATCTAAAGACTGATTATGACAATGGGTCTTAATCTTTCTTTTAAAGATTTTATTCCTAATTAATTTGCTTTAATTTTTTTTGTTTCACATTAGTTGCTGTGATATTGATATACAATCCGATGCACGTTGTAATTGAAGGATTTGAATTTAATCGTGTATAAATATCATATGCAAGTTACAAAAACCTAACGTTTTACAATTGGTAATTTAATAACCTAACGTTTTACGAAGAATCGTAAAAAACCCAAAGCCACAAGCCCAGCTGATTCACTATCTTCCTTCTCCATGTTTTCCCCAAATCTCACCGTACCTACTCTTCTCTCTTATATATCTATGTAAACCCAGAAACAAGGCTGTGTGAGTTTCGCTGTTGTTGAGGTAAAAATGGAGGATCCTTCAAAAGCATTGTATGGCCGTCCTTCTACACTTGTTTAGATCACCTAAAAATCCTTTGTTTTCAGCCATGGAAATGGAGACACTTATCACCAATTAATATGCAAAAGTTTCTTTCAAAGTAATGTGGAAAAGAATTTAGATTCCTTGGCAGTCTCTGATGATGGTGGCTGCATTGTCTCGTCCGCCAACTCCTTCACAGTCTCCCGTTGAAGAACCGGAACAAGAAACAAATACTCATCAAAGAGGAAACCCAACAGTTGGAACAGCTAAAAGGCCTCCTCTCAAAGACAATGGCTCAACTGTTACGAGAAAACCCAGAGGTAGGCAAGTTTCTTCGAGGTATTTGTCTCCGTCTCCTTCCGCTTCTTCTTCTTCTTCAGCAGCAGCAGCCAAAACGCCGGCGAGATTTCCTTCGCCGCTTATCTCTCGTTCCACTAATACGATGTCGACGGGTGACAAAACGACCACGAGATTTCATTCTCCGCTTGTTTCTCGTTCAACAAATGCTAGTTCTACTTCGACTACTTCATCTTTGCTTCCCAAACGGTCTCAATCCGTCGACCGGAGGCAGCCGGGGAGTCAATTGTCGCAAGGAAATAATGTTAATGGCGCCGCGGAAATGTCAGCTGCTACCAAGATGTTGATTACTTCAACGAGAAGTTTGTCGGTTTCTTTTCAAGGGGAAGCCCATTCGCTTCCTATCAGTAAGACAAAGGCTCAAGTGGGTTCTACTTTGATAAGGAAAGCGACTCCTGAGAGACGTCGAGCTACTCCGGTGAGAGATCACGGGGAGAACTCGAAGCCGGGGGATCAGCAACTCTGGCCCGGGAGAACACGTCAAGTGACTCCGGGTTCCGGTTCAGCTTCGCATAGGAGCTTGGATTGTGGCGGTGAAAGGAAGGTTTTCGGATCTGGGACAGTGTTAGCTAAGTCATTGCAACATTCGGTGATGCTTGATGAGAGTAGCAGGAGGGTTTCCTTTGATGGTGGTAGTAGATTAAGTTTGGATTTGGGAAGTTCCGAGTTATTAAAAGATGCCAATAAGCAAAACCCAGATTCCAATTCTTTAACTGAGGCTCATTGTGAACATGCTGCATCTGATACAGATAGTATATCTTCTGGGAGCACCAATTCTGGAACTGGCAGAAGTGGAAATTTGAAAGGGAAGAATAGACCCAGTAATATTGCCGTGTCTGCAAGGTTTTGGCAGGAAACTAACAGCCGGTTAAGGCGGTTGCAGGACCCGGGTTCACCATTGTCTTCAAGCCCAGGTTCTGGAATTGGTTCTCCAGCTAAGTTTAGTCAATCAAGAAGGGTTTCTTGTGACGGTGCAGTGGCTTCTCCTATGAGAGGTAGTATAAGACCTCCTTCTCCTA